ACACAGCGTACTATGGCCCTCGACCAACATCTCCAACTACCATAAGCTCACCTGCAAGGTGCGTGCATGTATGCTGCCCTCCTCTCTTCACCCTATTTTGCCTCTCCCTCTCTTCGAGCCTTCATTCACTCGGTTTGATGTCTGGGTATTTACCCCTCATCTTGCTAACAATGGTCTCTCTCTCTCTCTCTCTCTCTCTCTCTCTCTCTCTCTCTCTCTCTCTCTCTCTCTCTCTCTCTCTCTCTCTCTTGCATGCGCTCACACCTCCCTCTGTCTCTCTCTCCGTTGCTTCCCCTGCTCTCTGGTCCTCTGCCTCCCTCTGCCCTCCTCACCCATCCATCCATCTTTCTTCTTCGCTTTTGTTTCAATGAATGACGAGATGGGTTTCGCGGTTGTTAGGTTGCCATTCCATGAGTGCTGCACCAACCTTCTCGAAGTTATATTCTGCAGATTTCATGGACTTTAGGTCACTCTACTTCTTTTTCCTAGCCAACCGTAGTCTTCTGATTCCGAGTTTTCATTCCTCAGTCTTTCTTGCTCCATCTCTCTTGTTTGCTCTCCCTGTGCTTATTTCGCCCCCTCTCTCATTTGCTGTCATTTTGCACTTCCACGACATTGGCTCATGTGCCCGTGCTCCTCATTCTTTTTACTCTCCGTGCTGTCCCCTTAGCTCTCCCTCCGCGGCAGTATTTCAACTCATGGTCGTTGTGTCGAGCTGCTCATGACTCTCTTCCGTTGCTTCATTTGACCTTCTCTCCATCGTTCCTCTCTCCGTGGATCTGTCTACTCTCCTTCACTCATTTGTTGCCCTTCCTTTTCCGAGTTTCTTCGCTAATGATCAATGTTTGTCCTTTTAGGTCTCGTCTTCTACTGCACTCCCCTCTTCTTGCCTGCTAGCTGTTTCATACTTTCTCGAAGTTCTCTGTGAGGGTCTTCCCCCTTCCCTACTGTCAGTCCACCCCACACTGCCCACTGGATGTTATCAATGTGCGCCTTCCTGTTCATTCCCTTGCCCTGCCCCTCTGTGACTCTGCCTCCCCTTCTTTCCTGAGCCCTTCACTAGTTGATTTACAATGATGGGTGTGTGCCATATTTGCACGCATTCAGCGTGCACACACGTGCATATGTGCAGTGCATGCGCTACAGTGCACACTCCTGATGCATGGTGTGGACGTGCTGCCGAATAAATGCAAAAATGCACAAAAGAAAAAAATTCGAAAATTTCTCAAAGAGAAATGTGATGTAAAAGGTTATCTTGAGCAGCTTTTGGCGGAGACACTGCCGCAGATCATATTCCTTTGAATTTATAAAAGTAGAAACTGAGTGTATTGCTTCACCGTCATGCAAGGTAAACGGCAAAGGTCTTCTAGCGAGTCTGTTTTTGCACGTTTGGCAAACGTGGTCAATTCCAGCTCCAGTGCCATTGCCATTCCCCCCTTCCCNCCCCCCCCCCCCCCCCCCCCCCCCCCCCCCCCCCCCCCAATAGCTTCAGTTTCAGTCCCAGTTCTGGTACCGATTCCTGTTCTTGGTGTTGTCTCTTAGGGTGTACTTGCTCAAGGGCTTTTTGGGCGGAATGTGGCTGTAATGGCACTTAGATTCATCAAAAGAAGTCCCAGAATGAGTATGCCCTCAGTTGGAGGTATGGGCTTTTGGTTATAACCATCCACTTGTGGACGTACTAACGAGGGGACGCATGGTGCATATGGGGTTTGATGGGTGATTTGATATTTTGGTTGTGATGGATTTGGGAATGTGGAGCTGGATGGGCTGCATTGTGTTGGGGGGCGGGGGGGTTGCTGCGCGCTGTTTTTGTTCAGAAAGCAGGGCTCTCCAAGGGCGCAGGTGAAGAGAGAGAGGCCTTCGTCATACGAAACAAAAGATGGCACGCCGAAGAAGACGAAGCAATGCAACTGCAAAAACTCTCGGTGTTTGAAACTGTGCGTAGCATTTCTTAATCTATTTCCTCCTCTTAATCAGTGTATTTGTCTCCACTCTTTCTTGTTTAGATACTTGATAGCGCTGCCTTTCGCATCTTCGTGACTCTCTCTTCTGTTGTCTATCCAGTCCTTGTTTCTCCTGTTCGTTGGCTGGGCTTTGCCAGCGCTTTTGCATCTTTCTGGCTCTCTCTTCTATCTTCTGTTGAGTCGTTGTTTTTCTGTTCGATGGCTGAGCTTTGCTGACCATTCCTTTGGCGCCAGTTTCTGAAAGATTCAACTCCATGGAATGGGCATTAAGGCAGTGATTTGGCCTGGAAATCTGGGGGTAAGCACGGGGTGCTGACTTTGAAAAGCGTATGTATTTGAAACTTGATGCCTGAAAGACAGTCTTTGAGTGTGGGAGAGGTGAGGTCAACCAATCATGACTATGGAAATAGTTATCGGGAATAGAAAAAAGGAGAAGATCTATATGAGCTGGACGGAACATGAGGATTGGATCCGACTGTTGGTCATCAAGGGTTCGGTTTCTTATGCAGTTCGGGAGTTGCAACCTTGCCTTCTGATGACATCAAGACACTGAAAGAAAGATAGGAGGGAGTGGAAAAGGGGGATCTATGGGGGGGAGGTGTGTGTGTGTGTGTGTGTGTGTGTGTGTGTGTGTGTGTGTGTGTGTGTGTGTTCTTACACACGTGCAAATGACTTACAAAAGGATGCACGTAGGTTCG